GCGGGAGAAAGATGAGGCTTTCTACTCCCGTAAAGATTTACACCCTCGGAAACCCTGTACAGGGTCACTATGGGTCGAAACCGACTCGACGGCACTTAACAACAACAACAACAACAATAATAAATGTAGTTGAGATTGTTCTATATGTAAGTTTTACATTCTGCTTTCTGAAAAGCTTACTACACAGGTGGGCAAGCCACAGACAAATCTGCCTCAAGATGTCAATTAAGTGGAAAAAAACAACGAACAGTAGACAGGTGAGTTAAACATATATAACCCTTAGCTACCAAACCACACCCTGCAGTGAAAAATGTCATTCCTCACAGGCTGGGTGGCACAGAACCACTAGAGGCATTTAAAAAGTCCATGGAAAAATAAAATTACAATATAATGAAATTTCCTCACAAACTTTTTTGAAGTCCCTTTAAACAGCTCCACAATGCCAGAATGGTTCTGATGAGGTTACCATCCGAGTTTCACAAGAAGGAAGTTCTCAGTTGTAATTTCTGAAACTCTTATCACACCTTAACTTCCTCTTCTATTTATGATGAACTGAAAATGTTAAAGTTGTGAAGGATTTCATTTTACTTGGACCCACAATCAATGCCCATGGAAGCAACAGCCAAGAAAAACAAATTACATATTCGCACTGGACAAATCTGCTGCAAAAGACCTCTTGATAGAGTTAAAAAGCAACAATGGCACTTTGAGGACTAAGGTATACTTGATCTCATGCATGAGAAGCACTGATGCATTTAAATTAAAATATTTGCGAAGAATATTGAATTCACCACGGACTGCCAAGAGAACAAAAAATTCGTGTCTTGGTAGGAGTACAGTCAGAATGTTCCTTAGAAGCCAGGCTGGCAAGACTTCGACGCACATATTTTGGAGATGGTAGTGTGAGGGGTCAGTGAAAGAGAAAGACCCTCAATGAGATGGACTGACAAAGTAGCTGCAACAATGAACTTGAACATACCAGATGCAGCATTTGTGCATTTTAGGGAGTCTATAATAGCAAACCCTCAAGAGGATGAAAATGCCCAGAATTAGAGGTGGCAAAATGCTGCTTAAGAAAACCATAAAAAACCTTACAGCTCTTGTTTTTACTGAACTTCCTACAGGAGGAGCTTAGCTGGCCAGATTCTATTTAAATGGGAGCATCTTAACACTGACTTCCACATCTACTGTTAGCTGCTGTCAAGTTAGCCCCCAATGCATGACATTATTATGAGCCACACTGTTTTCACTAAGCCTTTTCCTAATCTGAGTGTGGCACACCACTGAAACGTGTACAGCATCACAGCCACAGGCAAACCTCCAGTGACACATGTGTTGGCCAGGGACTAGTCCCAGGTCTCATATATGGGAGAAGGCAAGATTGAACCATTGATACACTACTGACCACTAGTCATATGCTAAGCACTGCTGTATGCAACCTCCACATTGATTTGATTTATAAAAGTAACCTCTCTCTTCATTCTGTATTGGGGCCTCCTTGGATTTATACCAGAGTGCACCTCGACAAAGGAAGTCATTTCTCAACCTTTTTAAGTACAGGAAGGAATCCAATGCTGTGGCTGTTGAGTAAATTTGAATAGTAAAACCATGAGGCACAGTGCCTTTCGTCTTCAGGATTTCTATAAACAGTACCTCATATGCAATCAACAGCCTAACCGACCTCACCCACATGAGGCCTGAGTCAGATGCCTCAGGAGGACCCAGTATTCTGGTGACTCTCTCTACCAACAAAGGACCTAGTAGCTTCAGGAACTAGGAGCTAAAAAAGCAGTGCTACCCTTCTGGTGTGGCACTGTAGGATAAGCACTGGACCACAAGGTCAGTTTGAACTGCAAGGTCAGCAGTTTAAAAACTCAACAGCCGCTCTTTGGAAACCTTATTCAGGATCACTATGAGTCAGAACTGACTCATTGGCACTGAACGACAACAATACCACCACCACCCTCCTAAAACAAATCTGTCCTCCCAGTTACCTCTGTGTACAAGGTAGACTTCTGTAAGGGGATGGTTTCCTTGGCTTGGCCACTTCGGTAAAATCCAAACCACTGAAGGAGGGGAGAAAGAGACAAGGTCAGGTCATTCACATACCCCATACTGCCAAACTAATTTGAGACTGGCTCATAGCTAAGACCACCAACAAACTAAACAGACAGCAATATATATAGCAAGAAGGGAAAACTAATAAATATGTGTCGAGTGAACTCTAAGGATGGGTCCGGAGGGAGAAGTTCATCTTTCCATTTGCTAGAATTTCTGCTTTCTACATTTACTGTGTAAATCCCTGTGCCAAACTCTAGACATTCAAAGATGCATATATGGTACCTATTTCCAAGACGCCTAATGAGACTTATAAACAACTAATTGTATAGCACAAGGATCAGTAAACCTTCTATAAAAGCCAGACAAAACATTTCAGGCTGTAAGGGCTATATGGTCACAACTATTCAATGCTGCCATATGTGCAGAATGGGCATGGCTGTGCTCCAATAAAACTTTATTTATAGACACCAAACTTTGAATTTCATATAATTTTCACATGTCATAAAATATTCTTTTGAGGTTTTTTTGAATTATTAAAAAAAGTAAAAGCATTCTTAGCTCATGGGCCATACAAAAACAAGTGGTAAGCTGGATTTGGCACATGGGTCATGGTTAGCCCACCCCTGACATGTTATATAATATGAAGAGTGCTCTAATAGCTGATGCTTTTACAAAATAGGAAGCAGTTCTGCTTGAAAAAGGGTAGCATCCTGGGGGTGGGGATGAGTGGTGATTTAAGTTTGGCCTTGACAGGTGAGTAAGAAGCTCATCAGATGGAAATGCCAGGAAAAGGCATTGTAGAGACGGAAGAGCAGGAACAAAGACATGCAGGAATAACAGCACATGTCAAGTTTGGACACTTCAGTAGTGCACAGTGGGAAGTGGAAGATGAGGCTAAAAAGAAAAGATGACGCTACATCAAGGTAGTCCTTAAATGCCAAGCTTACAGATCTTGGGCTAGTGGTTCTGATCTTTTTTGTGTCATGGGTCCATTTGAGAATCCAGTGAAAATTACAGACCCTTCCACAGAGAATACAATTACATAATTTTACATACACTTTCGTAGCGGTTAAGAGCCCTAGTGGTTCTGTGGGTAAACATTGGAATGATCACTACATGGTTGGTGTTTTAAACCCACCAGCTGCTTGGCAAGAGAAAGATGAATGTGTCTGTTCCCATAAAGATTTAGTCTTAGGAAACCCTTTCCCCAAATCGACACAATGGCAGTGGATTTTTGTGGAGGGTTTCAACTTTCAGCGACCCATGTATGAACGTTGGACCTTGAATAAAAAACTCCTGCCCTACACAAAGGTTGGTGGAAGGGAGTGAAGTCTGTCTCCAGCAGGAAGCTATATTTGAAAGTCATTTACTCCTCTGGTCTCCTGGCACGTCGTGTCCTACGTAGTGTCTTACCTCAGAATCCACAGGATCCACAATGGAATCATTGAGGAATTTCACCATCACAAATTTCTTCAAGGCCATCAGGTTTTTCTTGTAGGTCTCGTTGACACCCTGAAGAAAAAGCACCTCCGTGACATAGCCACTAGATTCCGTGGAGTCTCTTTCTTGGTGTGCAGGTCTCCCTGTCTGTGGGCCACCATGTTTCTTTCCCCATGGGTCTGGCTGCTTTGCCAGCTCACTGCTCAGAGTATACATTTTACAGCCTTTTCCGCCCACTATCTAATGGCTACAACCTCACCACCAACCATGGTATCCCAGTGCAATCATGAATCTGCCACAGCGCACTCAAGAGAAAGTCCTTGCCAGTGAAAGCCAAAATCAAGTAACAAACGGCAAATTCTGGGCACTTGTGCAATACCAGTCTGTGTTCTTCTCCCTCTTTTTACTGTCCTTAACATTTTCTATCTAAAAAAAAAGAAAAAAATCCTTCAAAATAAGTCTCATACAATACTGAGCCATCTAGTTTACCAGAATCCCCAATACCAAGTCTGCAACATACTCAGTTCCTTCAGCACTTGGTAAAATCTCTTTTCTGAGAAAAGTCCCAAAAGGGACCCATCAAGAAGGCTTCCCTAATTCAGGCAGTAGCTGGAAATTTCTACTTAATCCTGACAGCAAACAAATAAATTTATACTGCTTCTTCAACACTAGACAAGAGAAAGGAATTAAGGGGGAAAAGTCAAATCATTTAACTTCCCTAAAAGGAACCAGATCTCATAAACACTGCCTCTCAAAAAATAGAACTGTTTCCTGGTATCTGCTCAGCATATTTTGGGAAACAGTCACTGCTGATTTCGTTTAAGATGCCCTGAATAGAAAAAAATGAATACAAGACTGGCAGTGTGGTCTGGGTGCTTACCCTCTCCTGGTTTATATCTGCCAAGAAGATGCTGTGGTTGCGGTATGCATCCTCCTTTATGGGGTCGTGCCAGTACTCTGCTTGGACCAGGCTGCAGGAAGAAAAACAAATGGAGGTGACACCTAAAGGAAGGGCTAGCTATTCAGCACAGTGTAGCAAGCTCCAGTGGCTTAGGAAAAGGATTCCTTAGGAGTTGGTTCTTAATTGCACTAGACTTTACCATACTTTTTTATGACCCCAGAGCATGGTGCAGACCATCCAATCCCCACAATCTCACCTCCTTTGCTTTCTACCCATCTTCCAAGACTCACCTCAAACGTCCCCTCCGCCTCTCCTCTTTATTCACCTTTAGTTTCTCCATCGATTACTATCGTCTGACGGGACTGGTTGTCTCACATCTTAATTACAAAAGCATTTATCATACTATTCAGCCATGACATCAGTTTTTAGTATTCTGGCATTTCATACCATTGTAGCATACCATTTTTAAATACCATAAGACAAGTATTTTGGTAGTTACAATACTATTATTTCCAGTACAAGTCAATGATTTGTTTATTGATTTACTTTCTCTCCAACTTCTCTCCTCATTCCTTTCCAGCTCTCCCTCCCAAAATAGGACCCCAACAGCTAGTTTATACTTACTTCCTGTATCTACATAGTATCACCCTCAACAACAAAAAAAGGGGGGAGGGAGGAAACAATAAAAGCAAAACAGCATGGATCTAATGGGAGAAGTCCTTTGGGGAAGTGGAAGAATTAGAACCAGTTGGCAGGAAGAGAAACCAAAAGTGCAATAGGAGCTCCCCAGTCAGAGTGGAGGATCAGCAGGCCAGAGACAGTGGTGCTCCGGAGAAGGAGAGCACGCAGGCCCAGTGGGACCAGCGACATCAGAGATGACTGAAGCTCCTCATGCTCAGTAGCAGACAGCACTAGAGCATAGGAAGCAGCGGTCAGAGCAGCATTCTAGAACTTGTTCATAATTATTTTGAAACCTTTTAAATTCTTAGTTTCACTGATTTTAAAATATCAAACTTTGAACTGATAAGATAATGGTATTAGTACAAATCTAGTCATTTTGTTTTAGTATTACTATCAATTATCAGGAGTCCTGGTGTGGCGCTGGAGGAGAAGCACTGGACTGCTAACCACAAGGTTGGTGGTTTAAACCCACCAGCCACTCCCTGGAAACCCTATGCAGGGGTAGCTACAAGCCAGAACCGACTCAACGGTGTTTAGCAACATCACTTATCATGTAAGAAGTGTTGGTTCCCTTTCTCTCCCCAACAGAATCATAAACTCCTAGCTTAGAGCACATGGTCAGTAGTGTTGGCCAAATGGAACGGACTGATGTTGGATGACAGACCAACTATGAAAGAAGTGGCATTGAAAAAGGGGTAGGATTTAGAGATGCAAGAAGGAAGCATATATAGCTAGAAAAATAAAGGAAAAGCTTCAAGAGTTGGTGGTTTCCACACAGCCATGGCCAACTAATCTTCAACAAGGGTGCTAAGTCCATCCAATGGGAAGGAGGAAATGTCTCTTCAATAAATGATGGTAAGAAAACTGCATTTCCACATACAAAAGACTGGATCAGGGTCCACACCTCGTACCACACACACACACACAAAAACAATTCAAAATGGATCAAGGACCTAAAAGTGAAAACTAAAATCATGAAATTCTTAGAAGAAACTATCAGGCAGTTCTTGCTGGGCCTAGTTTAAATAATGGACCAGAAGATAAAACAATAAAAGCATAAGCAGCAAATGACAAATAAATGGGACCTCATAAAAATTAAACACTTCTCTTCATCAACAAAGCAAAAAGACAATACTATTTTAATCAGAATCCACGTGTGACTTTTCTTCCTATTCAGTGTTCAATTATAATCTCTAATGATCCTTATGGGAGTGAGGTAGCGCTATGAGATAAACACTGAGCCATAAACCACAAGATCAGTGGTTCAAACCCACCCGCCACTCTGCAGTAGAAAGATGAGGCTTTCTGCTCCCAATAAGATTTACAGCTTCGGAAACGAGTCAGAAATGACTCAACAGCATTTAACAGCAATGATTCTCATGGTTTATGAAATCCTGGTGTAGTGCTATAGTCCAACAACTGGACTGTTGTTGTTAAATGCCATCAAGTCGATTCCAACCCATGGTAACCCTGTATAGGGTTTCCAAGGAGCAGCTGGTGAGCTTCAACCACCGACCTTGCAGTTAAAACAGCTTTGCAGTCTGGCACATTAATCCACAGCGCCACACCAACTACAAAGTAGACAGTCTAAATCCACAAGCCATTCCTCGAAAACCTTGTAGTCGCTGAGTTGGAACCAACCCAACAGCATATAACAATGACAATGGTTCTTTGGGCCAAGAATTGTGTTTTGATTCACAAAAAAACAAAAACAAAACAAGAGAAAATGATGGATTTGAGGCCATCTGGACAAAAGTTGGAGTGGAAAGAATGGAAGTTGAAGACACCAAACATGTCTAGAACAGAGAATATGTAGGATATACACTAACTAGTCAAAACCAAGGAAAGAGTAAAAAGCACAATGCCATTCATGAGCTGCCAGAGAGGAAAACAAGGGAAATGCAAAGCATCGTAGCTTCCTGCTCTGACCCTTAGGTGGCACTGTTGATACCAAGACAGCTTAGCCCTGGTGGTGCTCTGGTTAAGCACGCATCTGCCAACCTAAATGTCTGCAACTTGAACCCACCAGCAACTCTACAGAAGAAAGATATGGCAGTCTGCTTTTGTAAAGATTTATTGTTTAGTACCATCAATCGTAAAGATTTACACCCTCGGAAACCCTGTACAGGGTCGCTATGGGTCGGACCCGACTCGACGGCACTTAACAACAACAACAACAACAACCATCAATCAACACATGTCTATCAGTTTGTCATATTGTGGTGACGTGTGTGTTGCTGCAATTCTGGAAGCTATGCCACAGGTATTTTAAATGCCAGCAGGGTCACCCACAGTGGGCAGGTTTCAGATGAGTTTCCAAACGAAGACAGACTAGAAAGAAGGAGAGACAACTACTTTCGAATATTTAGTCATTGAAAACCTCATGAATAGCAGAGAAACACTGTCAGATACAGTGCCAGAAAATGAGCCCCTCAGGTTGGAAGGCACTCAAAACGCGACTGGGGAAGAGCTGCCTCCTCAAAGTAGAATTGACTTTGATGTGGAGTAAAGCCCACGGGACTTTCATTTGCTGATGGGGCACAACTCAAAATGACAAGAAACAGCTGTAAAATTCCATTAATATTCGTACACGGAACATTCGTACAAAGTACAAGTCTAGGAAAATTGGAAATTGTCAAAATGAAATGGAATGTATAAACATCGATACCTTAGGCATTAATGAGCTGAAATGGACTGGTATTGGCCATTTTGAATCTGACAATCACATAGTTGACTATGTTGGGAATGACAAATGGAAGAGAAATGGCGTGGCACTCGTCAAAAAGAACTTATCAAGATCAGTCATGAGGTATAACACTGTCTGTGACAGAATAATATCCATGCGCCTACAGGGAAGACCAGTTAACAGCACGATTATTCAAATTTACAAACCAACCACTAAAGCCAGTGAGGATGAAATTGAAGAATTCTACCAACCTCTTCAGTCTGAAATTGAAACATGTCATCAAGATGTATTATTGATAATCACTGGCGATTGGAATGCAAAGGTTGGAAACAAAGAGGAAGGATCAGTAGTTGGAAAATATGGCCTTGGTGATAGAAATCATGCTGGAAATTACATGATAGAATTCTGGAAAACCAATGATTTGTTCATTTGAAATACCTTTTTTAAACTACACAAAAGACTACTACGTACGTGGACCTCACCAGACAGAATATACAGAAATCAAATTGACTACATCTGTGGAAAGAGATGGTAGAAAAGCTCCATATCATCAGTCAAAACAAGGCCAGGGGCAGATTGTGAAACAGATCATCAATTGCTTATATGAAAACTCAGACTGAAGCTGAAGAAAATGAAAACAAGTCCACGCAAGCTAAAATATGACCATGAATATATCCCATCTGAATTTAGAGATGATCTGAAGAAGATTTGATACATCAGACACTAAAGACCAAAGATCAGAAGAGTTGTGGGATGACATCAAGAACATCATACAGGAATAAAGCAAAAGGTCATTAAGAAGAGAAGAAAGAATGAAAGGACCAAAATGAATATCCGAAGAGACTCTGAAACATGTTCTCCAGTGTAGAGATGCTAAAGCAAATGGAAGAAATGAGGCACAAGAGCTGAACAGAAAATTTCAAAGGTCAGTTCGAGAAGACAAATCAAATATTATAACAAAATGTGCAAAGACCTGGAGTTAGAAAACCAAAAGGAAAGAATACGCTCAGTATTTCTCAAGCTAGGGGAACTGAAGAAAGAATTCAAGCCTTGACTTGAGGCACTGAATAATTCTCTGGGTTAATTACTGAATGATGATTCTGGAATCTCCATGAACCCAAGTTATCATGGTATCCCAACCCTACCGCCATGGCCACCTACCGGCTAGTGCTCCTCGGCCACAGCAAGAGCACCTGCAACCTGGAGAATCGCTTCAGTGATTGGTATGACGTCGACCTGAGCCCAACCGGGCATGAGGAGGCGCAGCGCGGAGGACAGGCGCTGTGAGATGCTGGCTGTGAGTTTGATTTCTGCTTCACCTCAGTGCAGAAGAGAGCAATTCAAGCCCTCTGTATGGTTCTGGATGTGTTCGGCCAGATGTGGCTGCCAGTAGTGAGGACTTCGTGCCTCAATGAGTGGCACTATGGGGGTCTGACTGGCCTCAATGAAGCAGAAACTGCAGCCAAACATGGCGAGGCCCAGGTAAAGATCTGGAGGCATTCCTATGATGTACCACCACCACCACCACTGATGGAGCCAGACCACCCCTTCTACAGCAACATCAGTAAGGATCGAAGGTATGTAGACCTCGCTGAAGATCAGCTACTATCCTGTGAGAGTCTCCAAGATACTACTGCCAGAGCCCTATCCTTTTGGAATGAACAAATAGTTCCTCAGATCAAGGAGGGGAAACGGGCCCTGAT